AAAAAAAAAAAAAAAAAAAAAAACAAAAAAAAAAAAAAAAAAAAAAAAAAAAAAAGAAAGAAAGAAAAAGGAAAAGAAAGCTGTTTCATTCTTCTTCATGTTCAATTAAAGATAATTACCTTGTCATGTAATACAACATGCACAGGGCAAATGATCCTCCTTGTACAAGTAGTCCATTGAGCCCAATGTTCACTCCTTTATGGCACACAGATTTTTTTTTTCTTTTCTGAACAAGAATTGAAAGCACATTTAACTTGGCCATTAATCTCCTCAAGTCCATGAAACATTTATTTGAGTGGGGCGAGTCTGGATGAATTAAATGTAATGTTTTATCTCCTCTCCAACTTCAATGGACTGAATAAGTTATCCTATTTCATAGATGTATTTACTATTATTCATTTGGTCAAAATATACTTTTCAAACGGTTAAATGCATGATTATTATACGAATATGAAATAAACATTTGCCAAAGGTTTAATTCACTAATGAGGGAATCATCAAGATGGTAAAACCGATTCAAAGAATTTATTGATAGTCACTGAAAGAAGCGATGCTGTACATTAACTTTGCTAAGTGAGATAGAGAACTAGAAACTGCCCCATAGGGCAATATAACTGTTACTGTTTCTACAGGACAGAAAATAACTAAATATCAGATGAAGTTCATTTGCATCATCATAGTTGTCTACAAGTTAACGGCTGTCCCTTACAAAGCTGAAAAAATACCCTAATCAATAAATAGTAAACTAGGCCGGGCTTGGTGGCTCAGGCCTGTAATACCAGTAGTTTGGGAGCCTGAGGCAGGTAAGTCGCTTGAGATCACCAGTTCGAGATCAGCCATGGCCAACGTGGTGAAATCCTGTTTCTACAAAAAATACAAAAATTAGCCAGGAGTAGTGGTTGGGTGCCTGTAGCCCCAGCTACTGGGACTGGCTGAAGAGGGAGGATCCCATGAGCCCAGGAGTTTGAGGCCACAGTGAGCTATGATTGTTTCACTGCACACTGCAGCCTGAGCGACAGAGCCAGACCCTGTCTCAAAAATAAATAGTAAGCCAAAACAATGCTACATATTCGTGGAGCAGTAATTTATGTAATGGAGCAATTTTGCCCTCACAAGGGTCATCTGACAATGTAAGAAGACATTTTTAATTGTTATGACTGAGGAACATAGTAGGTAAATAGCTGTGACTGAGGAATATAGTAGGTAAAGAACAGGAATGCTAGTAAACATCCTGTAATGCATAGAACAGCCCCTACAACAAAGAATTATAATATCTAGTCCAAAATGTCAATAGCGCTCTATTGCAACTCTGCTCTAGAGAATGAAAATAAGATAATCCTGGGCCTGCAGTTTTCTAATTGGCTCCCCTTGTCCAGATTGGTCCTCTCGGTTCTGTTCTCCACACAAAATGCCGGCAAGTTCTCACTGAGAGGTGTCTGAGGTCCGTAAGATTGGCACCATTGAAAGAAGTTCAGGCCGAGTGCGGTGGCTCACGTCTGTAATCCCCAGTACTTTGGAAGGCCGAGGCGGGTGGATTACCCGAGGTCAGGAGTTCAAGACCAGCCTGGCTAACATGGCGAGACCCTGTCTCTACTAAAAATACAAAAATTAGCTGGGCATGTTGGCGGGCGCCTGTAATCCCATCTACTCAGGAGGCTGAGGCAGGAGAATCGCTTAAACCAGGGAGACGGGGGTTGCGGTGAGCCGAGATCGCGCCATTGCACTCCAGCCTGGGCAACAAGAGCGAAATTCCATCTCAAAAAAAAAAAAAAAAAAAAAAAGTTCCTCCTTCCTGCCACTCTCCCAACAAACCCTTTATTGTGAAAGAAAATAATTAGGTTTCCCCTAAAACAGATTCACAAGAAGGAGCGTGAACACTCATATTAAAAGTCTGACCTACTAACAGAACCATCCAGTGTAAGATAAATGTGATTTATGAAGTCTTCCAAGCACAAGTCCTTCCTGCCTTTGCTTGTGGACTGGGGCCCCTACTTGTGTGTAATCCTACACCCGCCCTGAGGCAGGATCCACTCCTTCATTTCTCCAGCGCCAAATTACAGACAATTCAGACAGAGAAGACAGGCTTGAAGGAAACTTGAGGGACAGCGGAAAGTGATGGGAACAAACGTTAGATTTGAGGGATTATGAGACGGGCATGACAAATTGTATTCTTGTAGGTTAGGAATTATGATTATCCTATATATGGCTAAAATTATCTTCTATGTGTTCATTTTCAAAACAAAATATAACCCAATGTGAAAACGGGAAGCTGGAAAGGTTTTGCTTTCCTTTGTTCTCCTTCATAAATAGTATTCTTAGATGCAGGTGGGAGATGAGTCTCCAGTCCCACCTGCCTCTCCCAGCCCCCCACCTCACTCCCGCGGTAGTGCAAGAGAAGAGAGTATCAGTAGCGCCAGAGGCCAGGGCCCAGGGTGGGTGCCCTGGCGTCCGGTTTCATTGACTTGCTAATTGGAAGACTACAAAGCCTTTCGCACAGGGAAAGGTGAAGAGGGGGTGGCGAGGGGGGCACCTGCGTTGACGAATAGACACACAAAGAAAAAGAAAGCTTCGCAAAGGGTATCTCTGCTCCCGGGTGGTCATTTTGAGCTAAGGGGCTGGGGGTCCGTCGCCCTCTTCCACTTTCTCAGCTTTTTCACCCGCTTACGCTTTCTTTCCACTTGTGTTTGGTAGCGGAGCTGATTTTCCGAATGGTAGCCATCTGGAGCTAGCGGCAAGCAAGAGGACAGCAAGCGGACGGCGAGTGCGTTTCGTTGGAGGTTCGGAAAACCAGCGAAATAAAGGTAACCGGGAACTTGCAGTCCTGGGCCAGGGTGGGGAGCAACGCGTCCCGTGATGGGGAGGAGGTCACATGGTGGCGAGGGTGTGGCCTATTTGTGTTGCCAGGTGCGCAGGCGCAGTTGCCGTCACGGCTGCAGAACTCCGCGGGTGACATGAAAGGTTGTATAGTGGCGCTCTGTGCATCTGCGTTAAAAAAAATGCGGGCCAGGCGCGGTGGCTCACGCCTGTAATCACAGCACTTTGGGAGGCCCAGGCAGGCGGATCACGAGGTCAGGAGATCGAGACCATCCGGGCTAACACGGTGAAACCCCCGCTCTACTAAAAATACAAAAAATTAGCCGGGCTTGGTGGCGGGCGCATGTAGTCCCAGCTACTCGGGAGGCTGAGACAGGAGAATGGCGTGAACCCAGGAGGCGGAGCTTGCAGTGAGCCGAGATCGCGCCGCTGCATTCAGCCTGGGCGACAGAGCGAGACTCCGTCTCAAAAAATATATAAATACACACATACATACATACATACAGCCCATGTTGCAAAGTAACATGCGGTTAATTCGCAGTTTTCCATTCATTCATTCGGTAAAGATTTACTGCGTACCTGCTGCGGGCTGGTGGAAGAGGCCCTGGGTTCTTTGCGAGCGCGTGGTCCGTTGAGGGTGAGGAAATCGGACCACCAACCCCCACGTGTAGGGGAGGACGTGGTGCAGCAGCGCCAGATAAACCCGGAGGAACCCCAAGTGGAGGCCGCTTGGGTCCTTCCGGAGTGAGTAAAGAACCAATTTCTGTGGCATGTGTTTCAACAGTAACTGTATTGTAATACTTCCTAAAACGAGTAAATACGTATTGTACTAATTGTGTACATAGACCCTTTTGAACACAATTTAAAAGTAAATAAGAATTTTGGTAGTAGAAGTTACAGCAACATGACGGGCTATTTACTCGTGTGTGTGATGTAATGGAAAGAACATGGACAGGTGTTTTAGCCACTTAGTCCATTTTTGAATCTATGTCCCACAAGCAGTATGACTTCCCTAACTTCCTCATGCCTTATGCAAAATGGGGATGATGATAATGAAGATAATACAGATCCTAAGGGGATAGTTGTGAATATCAAATGAAACAGAATTTGTAGCGCACATTTCTCAGAGTGTGCTGTCTACTGCCTTACTCCCACAGGCTCAAACAGGGGAACCCACAGAGGGTACTTGGAAAGCCTTTTAGCTGGGCCTTATCTTTGGTTAAATTAGAGTATAAAGAATTCAAGAATAACACCATAGGAAGCATACGAGTAATAACGTAATCATTAAACCAAGTCCCAAACAGTACTACAAAAAAACCTAAGTACACAAGAATTTAGACTATGTAAGAGATCAGATTTGTTTGAGATTAATTAAGGAAAGCCTCATAGATGGAGTTATAGTCCTTACAGAGGATTTTTTTTTTTTTTTTTTTTGAGACAGGGTCTCACTGTGTTGGTAATGCTGGGGTGCAGTGGTCCAGGCTGGTGTGCAGTGGTGGGATCAGAGCTCACCGAAGTATTGAACTCCAAGTCTCAAGGGATCCTCTCCCCTCAGCCTCCTGAGCAGCTGGGATTAAGGCACATATCATCATGCCCAACTAATGGGCTGTTTTATTTTGTTTTTGTATTTTTGTAGAGACTCAGTATGTTGAGTCGTAGGTCTCACTATGTTGCCCTTGCTTAGATAGGAATTTTGAAGAAAGTGATTGATCAGAATCACTTTTTTTTTTCCCCCAAGACGGAGTTTTGCTCAGTCACCCAGGCTGGAGTGGTGCAGTGGCCCAGTCTTGGCTCACTGCAACCTCCGCCTCCCAAGTTCAAACAATTCTTCTGCCTCAGCCTCCCTAGTAGCTGGGATTACAAGTGCCCGCCACGGTGCCCAGCTAATTTTTGTATTTTTGGTAGGGACAGGGTTTCACCATGTTGGCCAGGCTGGTCTCGAAATTCTGACCTCGTGATCAACCCACCTCAGCCTCCCAAAGTGCTGGGATTATAGGCGTGAGCCACTGTGTCTGGCCAGAATCACTTTAAAAAAAAAAAAAAATAGAGATGGGGTCTCACTATGTGGCCCAAACTGGTCTTGAACTCCTGGGCTCAAGCAATCTTCCCAGCTTGGCCTCCCAAAGTGTTGGGATTACTGGCGTGAGTCACTGCACCCTGCCCAGAATCACTTTTGACAAAAGTTAGTAGTGACATTTTGAATGGATTCCTGACAAAAGTTAAGTAGAGACATTTTGAATCCATCCTAGGATTATGTATGTGTGAGCAAGAGCTAAAAGTTACTTGATTTTTTTATTTGTGTATTTTACAGTGATCTTGGTAGTCAAATGAGTGAACATTTCAGCTGTTGTAATTTTGAGAATAAAAGTACTAAAAGGAAGCAATATGTACACAGCAGTGACCTGTATATTCACAGACATGTATTGATCACTGACTATTCCAGGTCCTATGCTAAGTTCTGGGAACACACAGAAACAAGACAGCCTCTGTCCTCAAAAGCTGTCAAAATTTAAAAGCTCAAAGAGTAAGTCATGAGTCAGTTATGGAAATAAAGGTTTTTGGCTTTAAAGGTCTGAATCAGAATGCTTGGAATTTAAGTTTGTAGAACCTTTCTGGTTGGTGATTTACACTATACTATAATAAAAGTGTATTTTGCTTATGTAAACATATATCTTTTGGAAAAAGTCCTGGAACTCTCTGAACTCTAGATGCAAGCAGTTATGAAAATTAGGAAATATGTGCTGGGACACAGACAGATACTAAAAATGATTACACAAGGCAAAGCTAAATTAATCATACTTGCCAACAACTTCCCTGCTTTAAGATAAATTTCTCCCCTGGTATGCTATATAGATTGATTGCAAATATCTAACATGAAGAATGCCATAAGATGGTTAAAACATGCTTTATACATACCAGCAGACATCAGTATTTTTAGAAGCTTTTCAGAGTGAAATTTTATCATTTTTTTCCTTGAGTTTTTTTTTTTAATTGATTCATAACTTCTCCTTCCCCCATGACTTTTGGTTAAAGGTATTCTATACTGGAAGTGTAAGATTTTTTAAAAGTAAAAATCAAAAGAGCTAGGAAAGTAGAAAAAGTGAATGGTAAAGTCCGTAAACTTTTACTAGACTTTAGATAACTGTCAGGAAAACATCTAACATTTCAAAGTACCTGATATGTTTAGGCATTACTTATGTAGCCTTCACTAACTGAGGTCTGTCTTGTGTTCAGTTAGCCTTCGAGCACATATTATAGGGCCTTGATTGACTGTGGCAGGGTTTTAATAAATGATAACATTTATTAATGCTTAATAAAGAAATTTTTGGCTGGGTGCAGTGGCTCACGCCTGTAATCCCAACACTTTGGAAAGCCGAAGCCAGCGGATCACCTGAGGTCAGGAGTTCGAGACCAGCTTGGCCAACATAGTGAAACGTTGTCTCTGCTAAAAGATACAAAAATTAGCCGGGCATGGTGTTGTGTGCCCATAATTCCAGCTGCTCAGGAGTCTGAGGCAGGAGAATCGCTTTAACCCGGGAGGTGAAGGTTGCAGTTGAGCCGATCGCATCACTGCCCTCCAGCCTGGGCAACAGAGGGAGACTCCATCTCAAAAAAAAAAATAAATAAAAATAAAAAAATTTAACCCTGGGGAATATGGCAAAACCCCATCTCTACCAAAAAATACAAAAATTAGCTGGGCGTGGTGGCATGTGCCTACAGTTCCAGCTACTCAGGAGGCTGAGATGGGAGGATCACTAGAGCCTGGTGTTAATGGTGGAGGGTGTCCAGGTTCTTGGTGTCTTGAACAAAGAATTGGACAAAACGCACAAACAGAGCAAGGAAAGAATGAAAGGTTTTATTGAAAATGAAAGTACACTCCACAGTGTGGGAGTGGGGCTGAGCATAGGGGCTCAAAGGCCCCGTTACAGAGTTTTTCTGAGTTTAAATACCGTCTACTTGGGGTACACCCTATGTAAATGAAGAGGATGAAGTAAAGTTAAAAAGTCATTTACTCCGTGTATGCCCTAGGGAGAGGATATTTCCTGTTATAGCTGAAGTGTGAGTTGGCCTTGTGTTCCCTGCTTCCAGATCCTATTTTCCTGCCTCACTGGGAAGTCGAGGCTACGGTGAGCTGAGATCGCGCCACCGTACTCCAGCCTGGGCAACAGAGGGAGACTTTGTGGCATAAATAGACAAATAGGAAGAAAGCTGAGTGAGATAGCCTATTTTCTGATTATCCCCAATTCTCTCTGCTACCTTACCTTTCATACTGTCCTCCAAAATAATGTAGTGACGTTTTCTTGGAAAGACTTATTACAACATGGCTGTTTCAGACCTATCCCCACTCCTGGTCTTGCCTCACAGAGTAACCCTAATGAGATAGGGCAGGATATCCCTCCACTCCCTGTCAAGATCTTGTCCTGTACTTGTCTAATAGGTGTCAATGAGAGGTATCCCTTTTCTGACCGCTTTTTCTTTTTCTTTTTTTTCTTTTTTATCTTTTTGTTTTTGAGACGGAGTCTCGCTCTGTCGCCCAGGCTGGAATGCAGTGGCACCATCTGGGCTCACTGCAAGCTCCGCCTCCCGGGTTCACGCCATCCTCCTGCCTCAGCCTCCTGAGCAGCCGGGACTACAGGCACCTGCCACCACACCCAGCTATTTTTTTTTTTTTTTTTTTGTACTTTTAGTAAAGATGGGGTTTCACCGTGTTAGCCAGGATGATCTCAATCTCCTGACCTCGTGATCCACCTGCCTCGGCCTCCCAAAGTGCTGGGATTACAGGCGTGAGCCACCACGCCCGACTCTGACCTCTTTTATATTACTGTTTTTCCTTTCTGAAGTCTCCTTAGAGTCTATTGTTTCTGCATTTAACATTGGTATACTTTCACATGATAATGCATGCCCCTAGAAGGGTGCCTACTTTTCACAGGGTGGCAGGAGAGAGACTGAGAACCAAGTGAAGGGGGAAACCCCTTATAAAACCACTGGATCTCATGAGCAATTATCATGAAGAGAATAGCACGGGGGCAACCACCCCCATGATTTCATTACCTCCCACTGGCTTCCTCCCATGACACATGGAGATTTTGGGAACTACAATTCAAAATGAGATTTGGGTGGTGAAACAGCCACACCATATCACCAGCTTTATAAAGGATTAATAAGGATCTGAGGGTTACAGTGGCTTATCAGATGAAGGGCTAGTATTCTCACTGCCTGATTATTACAGCAATCACAATATTGTAAACACACACACAAATGGGCATCGTACTCCCAGAATGTTGGTTTTTTTCCTACCTCAAGATGATTTTATAAAAGTCTTCATAATCCAGTTCTTGGTTCATAAACACAGTAATTCAGAAGCCACTTTAGTCTTCCTGGTCTCTAAAATGTATATAACTTTTCTTAGATTAATTATAAATTAATTAATTGATTGTCATTCCCACATCTTAGGTGATTCTGATGTCACTCAAAGCATTTTAGAATTACCAATGTGAATTTTAAAAGTACAAGATTGTTAATAAACTATTATTTATATTTAAGTAGTCTTGTGAACTTTTATGGCATTAGATGTGTCTTTAACCAGTTCTTCCAGTCTTTTATTTCCTGGTTGTTTGCCTCTTGCAATAATTTACATTTGAAAAGAACCATATTTTCTAAAATGTATTTTTGCTAAATGTTAGTTCCTTGAGTATCAAGAGTTCTTTGAGATGTTAATAGACGTTATTTGGCTAAAAAAAAAAAAAAAAAAAAGAGCTTTGACTCCATTCTCTTTGCTAGGCCTACTTTAAGCAACAAGCTGTAAATTTCAGAACATTAGAAGATAGATCAGTTGAGATTTTCCTTCATTTTATTTTCCTTCTATGAATAATTAAATATTAGCTGTATTTTCAGCTCTCAGCTGGTAAGAACGTTGCCTTTTTTAGATGTTGGTGTCCTCTTTCAATTAACACATACCCATTACCCTGCCAAATCTCACCAGTATTAAGTAATTATTTATTAACATATAGTGCATACAATGTGCTGTCACTGTACATGCTTTAACACCTAGTTTCTCAAATTTTGCAACAATCCCAATTCAATTACTGAGCCATTTTCTTTTCTTTATTTGTTTTTTCTTTTTTCTTTTTCTTTTTTTTCTTGAGACAGGGTCTGGCTCTGTTCCCAGATTGGAGTGAGAGAGGAGACCACTCCTCATAATTGTCTTACACTTAATTTCTTATTTGCTGAAAAGGTAGAAGTTAAAAGAATAGACAGAAGTGAAATTCATAGTCAGACAGCCCGGTGCCACATTTCAGGCCTGGTAGTTAAAATTCAACCCCTGATCTCACCGCTTGTGGTGTCTATAGATTCTAGACATTGTATGAAGAAGCATCGTGAAACTCCCTGTTCTGTTCTGTTTTATTCTGATTACTGGTGCATTGCAGCCCCCAGTCATGTACCCATTGCTTGCTCAATTGATCACGACCCCCACTTCACGCAGCCCCTTTAGAGTTGTGAGCCCTTAAAAAGGACAGGAATTACTTATTCAGAGAGCTCAGTTTCTAGGACGTAAGTCTGCCAATGCTCCCAGCTGAATAAAGCTCTTTCCTTCCACAATCCGGTGTCTGAGGGATTTTTGTCTATGACTCCTTCTGCTACAGGAGTGCTGTGGCATGAACATGGCTCACTGCAAGTTCTGCCTCATGGGGCTTAAACCATCCTCCTACTCTGCCTCCCGACTAGCTGGGAGTACAGGCACCTGATACCATGCCTGGCTAGTTATTGTATTTTTTGTAGAGATGGGGTTTCACCATGTTGGCCAGGCTGGTCTCGACTTCCCAAAGTGCTATGATTACAGGAATGAGTCACAGTGCCCAGCCTGAGCCATTTTCAAACCCAGTATATTCAGCCTCTTAATGTGAATCATTAGCCAGGAACTTGCCTTGCTCTAATCTCATCCATACACAAATTTTACATGACTTTTGACATCTAAAGAAGCTCTTTGGATTAAAACAGAAATAATAAAGAGAATATGTTCTTAGACTTGTCCCTAAAATAAACTCTTGCCTAAACTTTCTTCCTTTACAAAAGAATAGAAGAAAATGTTTGGAGATTTCTCAGAAATTACAAAAGGGACACAATTATTACAGTTTTTAGTTGTGTCGTGTTTTTTATATGTTACTCTTGAAGGAGGTTATTTTCTCTCTATAGTTTTTTATTATGAAAAGTTTTTTTTTTTTTTTTTTTTTTTTTTTGAGACGGAGTCTCGCTCTGTTGCCCAGGTTGGAGTGCAGTGGCCGGATCTCAGCTCACTGCAAGCTCCACCTCCCGGGTTTAGGACATTCTCCTGCCTCAGCTTCCGGAGTAGCTGGGACTACAGGCGCCCGCCACTTCACCCGGCTAGTTTTTTGTATTTTTTTAGTAGGATGGGGTTTCACCATGTTAGCCAGGCTGATCTCGATCTCCTGACCTCGTGATCCGCCTGTCTCGGCCTCCCAAAGTGCTGGGATTACAGGCCTGAGCCACCGCGCCCGGCCGAAAAGTTTTAAATTTACAAAAAGGAATTGAAATAATATTGCAGTGAACAATATATACACTCCACAATCAACAATTGCTAGTATTTGCCATACTCGCTTTAAATCAATCTCTCTTTCTTGTGTGTGCACACATACAGCATGTACATTTCTTTTGCTAAACTGTTTGAAAATAAGTGACAGATGTGATGACTTTACCATTTAAACACTTCAGCAAGCACTCCTACATGTAAGAGCATTCTACACATCATAAACTTGTTATCACTCCTGGGAAAAGTATCAGTAATTTCATTGTATCTAATAACTGGCTTATGATCCAATTTCTCTAGTTATCCCAAGAATATATTTATGTATTTATTTTTTTGAACTAGAATTCAGTATAGAGTCACTCATTCCATGTGGTTGTAATGTCTTTAGTCTCTCAATATTTTTATAACGTTGACTTTTTAAAGACCATTGATTCATAGTTTTGTTGCATTTGATCTTCTATGTTCTATAAATTAGAAGGTATGTCTAGAAACTTGATTCAATTCAACTTAAAATATTTTTGGCTAAAGTATTTCATAGATGATGGTGGTATTTCATATTGTAATACATTAGATGGCCCAAATATTTTCAATTTTCATTTTAGATTGCTTTTAAGATTATATTTAAAATCATATATCCATACAAGGCTAACTTTTTTTTTTTTGAGACGGAATCTCACTCTGTCACTCAGGCTGGAGTACAGTGATGCAATTTCGGCTCACTGCAACCTCTGCCTCCTGGGTTTAAGCAATTCTTGTGCCTCAGCCTCCCAAGTAGCTGGGATTAGAGGCGCGAGCCACCACACCCAGCTAATTTTTGTATTTTTGGTAGACACAGGGTTTTGCCATATTGGCCAGGCTGGTCTCGAACTCCTGACCTCAGGTGATGCACCTGCCTTGTCCTCTCAAAGTGCTGGGATTACAGGCGTGAGCCATCATGCCCAGCAGGCTAATTTTTTTTATTTTTTTTTATTTTTTAATATTTATTTATTTTTTTTGAGACAGAGTTTTGCTCTTGTTGTCCAGGTTAAAGTGCAATGGCGTGATCTCGGCTTACTGCAATCTTTACCTCCTGGGTTCAAATTATTCTCCTGCCTTAGCTTCCCGAGTAGCTGGGATTACAGGCACCCACCATCTCGTCCTGCTTATTTTTGTATTTTTAGTAGAGATGGGGTTTCACTATGTTGGCCAGGCTAGTCTCGAACTTCTGACCTCAGGTGATCCACCTGCCTCGGCATCCTAGAGTGCTGGGATTACAGGCATGAGCCACCATGCCTGGCCTTTCTGATGCTATTTCTAGCACTCAAATTCTAGAATTATTTACAGAAACATAAAGCAATGCACATGCTTTTTCCTTTTTTATTTTATTTAATTTTTTTGAGACAGGGTCTTGCTCTGTCACCAAGGCTGGAGTGTAGTGGCTCAATCACAGCTCACTGTAGCCTCAACCTCCTGAGCTCAAGCAATCCTCCCACCTCAGCCTCCCAAGTAGCTGGGACTACAGGTGTGCACCACCACACCCAGCTAATTTTTGTATTTTTTGAAAAAGAATTTTTTTTTAAATATAGAGACAGGGTCTCTCTATGTTGCCCAGGCTGGTCTTGAACTCCTAGCCTCAAGCAATCCTCCTACCTTGACCTCCCAAAGTGCTGGAATTACAGGCATGAGCCATCGCACCTGGCTGCATCTTCATTTCCTATTGCCAGACAATTAAAATATAGCTGTGGATGTAATTTTTGTTAAATCAGTCACATTCACCCAGTAGATATATGGCAATTTTATTTTTTCTTTTTTCTTACAGTGCTTTATACATTCAGAGAAACTTCTCTGGTAACAAACTATGGAAATGACCACTGAAAGTAGTCTTGATGGCAGCTTTCTTAAAGGCACGGACTATATCATGTTCATATTTTTATTAAATGTCCAGCAATGAAAAGGTGCTTAATAAAAATGTGTTTGTCAATTGTTTTGAAAGACACTGTATCTTTTTTAAAGTAGACTTAGAGAACAGTCAAGTCTCACTGTACTGAAGAAAATTACTGTGGTCAAATTCATCCATTTTATGTTAACTCATAATTCTCAGTTTCATGGTGTATACACCAATACACCCAAATCCTAGGGAGTCCATCTAGTTAGTTACTTAGTTTATTTATTTATTTAGTGACAGGGTGTCACTCTGTCACCCAGGCTGGAGTGTAGTGGTGCAATCATGGCTCACTGTTACCTCCGCCACCTGTGTTCAAGCGATCCTCCCACCTCAGCCTCCCCAGTAGCTGGAACTTGACATGAGCACCATTACATCCAACTAATTTTTGTATTTTTTGTAGAGATGGGGTTTTGCCATGTTGGCCAGGCTGGTCTTGAACTCCTGAGCTCAAGTGATCCGCTCACCTTGGCCTCCCAAAGTGCTGAGATTACAGACGTAAAACACTGCGACAGTCCCCATCTAGTTTAATACTTGTAATTTCCTGTGCCCAACTCTATGTGCTATTTATCTAAGTAAATAAAATATGGAATCGTTTTAAAACTGGATATAACATCACATGGAGCAGGTGATAAATTACTGTTAATATTCAGGTTACTGAGTAAAGAAAAAAGGGCCTGTGATGCCTTATGCCTGTAATCCTAGCATTTTGGGAGGACGAGGCAGGAGGATTCCTTGAGCCAGGGATTTGAGAGCAGGCTGGGCAACATAGGGAGATCTACAAAAAAAAAAAAAAAAAAAGGAAGGAGAAGGAGAAGGAGAAGGAGAAAAGGTTGGCTGCAGAGGACAGACAGTGGTAATTTGTCATCGTGTCTCCTGTGTGCTCAGAGGTGAGCATTCTCTCCATGCAATATCCATGTTCTGGGGCTCCTTACAGATGCAGTGGGCTGCAGACCTGATATATCAAGTCTTCACAGTGATATAACTCTTGTTGTCATTGAACCCCTTTTGCTCTGATTAAATAGTAGGGGAGAACATTTTATGTGAATTCAGTCTTTCCAAGTTTGAGGGCAATTTTTAAAAAAATACACTGGGCCACTTAACACTTTTATTCGTTGGTATGGATGTATAAGGTTGGTGTTCTGACTTTAAAGTTATCCTTGACTATTCTTCTCATTCCCATTCAAATCTACCAGGAAATCTTACTGATTCAGCCTTCCAGATAGACCCACTTCTCCGCTTTCCCTGCTAGTACTCTGATCTTTCTTGATACTTTTTGTCACCAGGAGTCTCTTAATTGGTTTCCTTGTTTCTATCATTGTCCCCCTAAGGTCTTTTCTCAACACAACAGTTAAAATTATCTTTTTAAAAGGTAAGTTAGATTCTGTTACATCGGGAGAACCCGCTCCCGAAGTTTAATGTGGGTTCTTTTCTATTTCTTAAGTGTCTCGGCTGGGCTGAGAAATAAAGGGAAAGAGCACAAGAGAGAGAGAAATTTAAAGCTGGGTGTCCGGGGGAGACATCACATGTCGGCAGTTTCCGTGATGTTCCCCGAGCTGTAAAACCAGCAAATTTTTATTAGCGATTTTCAAAAGGGGAGGGAGTGCACGAATAGGGTGTGGGTCACAGAGATCACATACTTCACAAGGTAATAAAATATCACAAGGCAAATGGAGGCAGGGCGAGATCACAGGACCACCGGATGAGGCGAAATTAAAATTGCTAATGAAGTTTCGGGCACGCATTGTCGTTGATAACATCTTATCAGGAAACCGGGTTTGAGAGCAGACAACCTGTCTGATCAAAATTTATTAGGCGGGAATTTTCCTCCTCCTAATAAGCCTGGGAACGCCAAAGGAGACCGGGGCTTATTTCATGCCTTGGGCTTCGACCATAAAAGACGGCACGCTTCTAAAGGGGCCGTTTATAGACCTACCCTCAGGGCGCTTTCTCTTCTCAAGGATGTTCCTTGCTGAGAAAAATAATTCAGCGATATTTCTCCTATTTGCTTATGAAAGGAGAAATATAGCTCTGTTCCGTCCAGCTCACCAGCAGCCAGTTCAAAGTTACCTCTCTTGTTCCCTGAACATCGCTGTTATCCTGTTCTTTTTTTAAAGATGCCCAGGTTTCATATTGTTCAAACACACATGCTCTACAAACAATTTGTGCAGTTGACACAATCACAGGGTCCTGAGGCGACATTCATCCTCCTCAGTTTCCGAAGAAGATGACGGGATTAAGAGAGTAAAGTAAAGACAGGCAGAGGAAAACGCAAGGGTATTGATTGGGGAAGTGATAAGTGTCCATGAAATCGTCACAATTTATGTTCAGAGATTACAGTAAAGACAGGCGTAAGAGATTATAAAAGTATTAATCTGGGGAACTAATAAATGTCCATGAAATCTTCACAATTTATATTCTTCAGCCACGGCTTCAGCCAGCCTCTCCGTTCGGGGTCCCGGACTTCCCGCAACACTGTTACTCTTCTGTTCAGAACCTTCACAGACTTCCCATCTCTCAGTTAAATCTAAAGTCCTTAAAGCCCGGAAGGCTCCGTATCTTTTTGACTTCCTTCCCACTATTCTTCTCTCATACTGCTGCAGCCACACTGCCCCCCTGCTGTTTCTATAGTATACCAGACTGTGCTTTTGCCTTAGGCTCTACTTGATTCCTCTACTTAGAAACTTTCTTTTTTGAGTCTCACTCTCTCTCCCAGGCTGCAGTGCAGTGGTGAGATCTCCGCCCACTGCAACCTCCGCCTCCCGGGTTCAAGCGTTTCTCCTGCCTCAGCCTCCTGAGTAACTGGGATTACAGGCACACACCACCACACCCGGCTAATTTTTGTATTTTTAGTAGATATGGGGTTTCACCGTGTTGGCCAGGCTGGTTTCTAACTCCTGATCTAAAGTGATCCGCCCACCTCGACCTCCCAAAGTGCTGGGATTACAGGCCTGAGCTACGCGCCCAGCTAGGAACTCTTTTATTTTTATTTATTTTGTTTTATTTTTGAGACGGAGTTTCGCTCCTGTTGCCCAGGCTAGAGTGCAATGGCGCAATCTCGGCTCACCGCAACCTCCGCCTCCCAGGTTCAAGCGATTCTCCTGCCTCAGCCTCCCAAGTAGCTGGGATTACAGGCATGCGCCACTACACACGGCAAATTTTTTTTTTTTTGTATTTTTAGTAGAGACGGAGTTTCGCCATGTTCGTCGGGCTGGTCTCCAACACCCGACCTCAGGTGATCTGCCTGCCTCAGACTCCCAAAATGCTGGGAATTATAGGCGTGAGCCACCGCGCCCGGCCTATTTTAATGTTTTTATTTTTATTTTTGAGACGGAGTTTCGCTCTTGTGGCCCAGGCTGGAGTGCAGTGGCGCCGTCTTGGCTCACCGCAACCTCCGCCTCCCGGGTTCAAGCCATTCTCCTGCCTCAGCGTCCAGAGTAGCTGGGATTACAGCCGTGCACCACCCGGCCCGGCTAATTTTTGTATTTTTAGTAGAGACGGGGTTCACTGTGTTGGTCAGGCTGGTCTGGAACTGTTGACCTCAAGTGATCCACCCGCCTCGGCCTCCCAAAGTGCTGAGATCACAGGCGTGAGCCACCACGCCGGTCCAGGAACTCTTTTTGATAAAATTTTTTGATCGTCTTTGCTCAAATGTCACCTCCATGAGGCCCAGCTCTACTACCCTAGCCAATACTGCAACATGCACCACAGCATTCCTAGCGCTTCCAATTACATTCTAACATCCTACGTAGCTGACTTTTTTTTCTTCTTACCTTTTTGTTACTTTTATACTTAATACTTATTGTTTGCCTCCCTCCATAGAATGTGAGGGGCAGAAATCTTAGTTTTGTTCACTCATGGATCTCAAACACCCAAAACAATGCCTAACACCTATGGTTCTCAATAAACGTGTGTAATGAATGAATGGATAAGTACCTTTCATTTATGTATGAAACATGTATTAATCAGAAGCTCATCCTTCTGGAGTTTCCCTGAACTGGGAATGGCAGGAAAACATGTAACATCAAGTTTCTCAACCCAAAAAGCTAATACCTTACATCTATTATAGAAACATGGTGGTGTTTTCCATAAGGCGTTGATTTCCTGTGGAATTCTAGACTGAACAGGCAGCCAACTTGCTATATGTATCATAAAATAAAAAAAGGACCTTATAAAACAATGGTTTCTAAACCATTGGAGATTCAGATCCTGTGAATCTGAGTTAGGGCCCAGGAATCTAAAATTTTAGAAGTGCCTCAGGTGATTCACATGTACAACCAGTCTGAGCTGGAGCATTTTCTTTATATTGCTCTGAGACCTGAAGAGATGAGAACTATGTTAGTGAAGTGAGAGGAAAGTATGTGGCTAACTGGGCTTTTGAAATCAACGAAGAGGTGTATGGTACGCTTTTTAAACTCATAGTCATGGATCCTTCTTCCTGCCTCATATACCTTTTTTGCTGGGATTTGTGCTTCAGAATCAGCCCAGGAACTTGTTAAATATACAAGAGCTCATGCCCTACCACCGACCTACATAACCTATGTTTAAGTATCTCTGGTTTTACAAAACCTCTAGGCTAGAGAAAAGTGTATCCACACCAGGGATAGCTGAGACTAAGTTCAGCTAGAATTTCAGAGAAGGCTGGAATATGTCAGTCAAGTCAGTAAGGCTAAAATGGTCACCACGATCACATTCTTTCAGAGTAGGTGAGCTTTAATAATGCCCTTTTTTTTGGACAGCAATGAGGAAACTGAAAACATTTGAGGACGAATTAAAACAAAGCGCCCAACGTGGGGCTCGAACCCACGACCCTGAGATTAAGAGTCTCATGCTCTACCGACTGAGCTAGCCGGGCTCTTGAATGGTTAGGTCTTCCCCAAAAGGCTAAGAGTATACATAACTTCTTTTGTACAATTGGGATTGTGGATTTTATGTTTATGTTGATTTTATAGGCAAGATGAAATGAAACTCAAAGGACGTAAACATTATCTGAATCATTAGTATGCATTCCACTCACTTTCTCTACATCTTCCCTCTTTTCCCCATTCTC